TGGGTCATATTCATTTGTATGGTGTAATCCGACCCTTGTCAATCACTAATATATACCCTAACATAAACTTAATTCACACCTTAAATCTAAAACTGGCCTCAAAAATTAACCTTTCTGGAGACCAGTTTACTGGTTCACACACAGTCACACTCTCACACACATCTGCTGAGGAAAACAATCAAACAGAGCATCAGCTCATTTTAGTGGACATTGGACTGGATTTTTTCATGTAATAGAATGTAAGTTCTTTTCTACATATTTCCCATCTTAGTGTGTTGCATATTTTCAAAAAGTGATCTTATGTATATGTGTGTCTTCTAAGCCATGAGTCTCTGCAAAATTTCATTATGGTTTCATGATGAGATCCTTGATTCTTCTACCCCATGTGGTTAAATGTTTGACTCTGCGATACATTACACAACAGCATTAATGTAATCCGAGGTGCAGCACTTGAAAATTACTGGTAAGCATCTAATGCTGCCATTCGTATGTTGGCAAGATTATGTTTGCATACTATAATATCTGAATAATTGCGGGTGCCTCTTAGACTTATTTCAAGCAAGCAGATTTTTATGTAAACATTACAGGGTTTTAAGAAGGGGCTTTTGTTAAACTTAACACCCTCTAATCGTTTTCATCTCATTTTTCAGCAAGGATTACTCCAATAAATATTTAATATCGTCTATTCTCTAAATTATGTAACAGGTGCATCAGCACAATCCTCTGTTTTCAGTATTAAACAATGTGGGATTAAGTTTTGGTTTGTGGAAATGTTGCATTAACCCTTCAGATCAGTAAACTACCACAGAACATGGATACGAGTTCTCATTTTATTTAGGTTCTCAAAATGTTTCTCCAAGCAAAATAGAGCAGATTCAGACTAAATGATTAGTCAAAAATAAAATTGGGATGTACAAAAAATAGTAAAATGGGAGGATATATGTTGACATCTTAAAATATGTATGATTTTATGTTAAAAAAAGTTATTTTTAGTTTTTTTTAAAGCCTTTCTTGCAATAAAATGTTAAGGTGCATTAGGCAAAGGGAGGCTAACAACATTATTTCAGTGACAGAATAGGTTTGTTTGGAGGTCACAGCGAAGAGTGATGTCCATAGAGAAAAATGGCTGACAGAATTAAATAATAGATATTCATAAATGATTTGTAGGTGGCTTTTGAAAACACTGTTTTAATTCATCCCTAGAAGGAGCAGGGAAAGGTGACTACCTTTGCCCAGCTCTGGTTCATCTCTCCCAGGCTTCTTGATATGATCTCCTGCTACTTCTGTCTGAGCTCTAGGAGGCTGTCTCACCTTACAGTACTGTACGTCTGTTGACCAAGCCATTCCCTCTTGAAGTGGGATAGTTCCAGGTGCTGGTCAGACGGAAGCACCGCAGAAAGGGACTGTGATCCAGCTGCAGCTTGGTTCTTGGTCCCCCAGAGCTGAGGACATATTGGGAGAATCTTGCTGACCCCAATTGTTTAGATTACCATATTAAATTGAGTGCTGTAACTCACTTGGTAAAACCCAAATTTGCTAGGCTTAGATGAAACCAACTGATTTTACCTTCTTTTATTTGATGATGCAGTGAAGCAACAGGGGTGTAGCTTACTGGGTGCTATACAAAGCCTGTCCCTTGCCATCCGAATTGCTAATTATATTGTCACTACCTGATCATACCGGGAACACGATCCATACCCACTTCTGCATGTGCAAGTGGACATTCATCTTGGTTGCCATAAATAATGTAATCATGGTACCAAATGTACTTATTTCTATGCTTAACTCACTGTAGAATACTAATACAAATCTTTAAAACATTTTTTTTTACTTTTCTAAAACAATTTGATGCTTTTTACATTTTTTCCTGTTAAACTGTTTGTCTGACATCCTCATCAGACATGTTCAGAGTAGTCCAGCAAAATATGATTAAACCATGTTTAACTGTTTTCTTGGTTATTTCTTTCTTAAGATCACGCAGTATATATCATACCGTTAACCCGAAAAGAAAAAAAATGAACTCAAAAAGACTAGATTAACATAATTAAGGTATTTTTAACTCATTAAAATTGATGGAGACGCAGATGTTTATATGGTTACGCATGCGCAAATGAGCTGATGGTATGGATTGTGCTACAGGGACAGATTGGGTACTGCCAGATATGTCAGGCGAGCAACAGCACCCTAATGTGATAACTTTGTAGGTGGAATCACATTTGTTGTAAATGCACTTTTAGGAATACATTTTTTAAATTAATATACCAGTTTAAAGAATAACAGTATTTTGATTTAGTAGATAACAGATTGGTACTCTGTGTGTTTCCAGCTTGCCCGCTATTCTACCGAAGGTCTTCTCCAGCTTGGACCCTTGGGGTCAACCACATTCCTTCCCGATACAAAATGTCTCATAGATGATGGAAGAGGACGTACCCCAAGTCTGAAAAAATGTGATGCTGTTTCAAGGATTTCCCAAAGGCTTTGGGACTTTACACAGGTAAAAAAAAAAAAAAAAAAATGCTGTTTCAAGGATTTCCCAAAGGCTTTGGGACTTTACACAGGTAAAAAAAAAAAAAGTCTTACAGGTAGAGGTTTCAGGAAACATTGCTGTTTAAAATATTGTGTTATTTTTTATATCATTTTGTTGCAGAATGGCCCAATTATCAACAGAGACACTGGTCGGTGCTTGGAAGTTGAGATGTCCAAAGATGCCAACTTTGGGCTTCGTCTTGTGGTGCAGAGATGTTCTGGTCAGAAGTGGATGATTCGAAACTGGATCCGGCATCCCAGGCACTAAGGAAACACAGTCATTTCTGAGACATTTTGGCCAGAATTTCCAGTTGCAGCGAACTGTTAAGAGAGGAGGAGGAACTGAAGCACCCCTGTAAGGTGTAGGATTTCCCCCTATAAACTACAAAGCACGCTGACCTTCACCTGGGCAACGATGAGTCTTAAAAAGGAACATGATCAATTTATCCCCCCCACTGAGTTCTGTCCTCTCACCACACCTTCAGGCAAGCTGCACAGTTTGAAATGGCCATGGTTTCTAGCATTCAGCCATATGTATAGAGCACATTCCTTTTGTGCAATCCGGCTCAATATTCTACAGTAGTGACTCTACTGTAAAACTATTCCTTCTTAATGGAAAAGAAGACATGTGGGGATTTCTGGGTCTATTGACTTTCACAAGGTGTACTGGGGTAAATTAGGAGAGATAATTGTCATCAATGACCAGATGAAACCAGATCTTTTGGGAGTAATTTGAGCAAGTAGCTGTGGACATAATGTGCTGCCCTGGCAGGACATGTAATAGGCTTCACACCGGCTGGCAATTGTCCAATTAAAATGAACTTCACTTATTCTCACACAAACCACAACACGTCTTTGTTTCTGTGGACTGTATGGCTCACTGTGGACGAAAGCAATCATGTGCCTTTTGTTTATTAATTTTCAGCTTCATGTGACCAGAGAATGTCAGCCCCCAAAAGCATGTATAAAGCTATTTGAAAAATAATGGTCAAATAATGTATAAAGCTGTTTAACGATAGTAATTTATTGTAAAAATGAAATAAAAGTGGAAAAATTGATGGAAATCATCTTAAAGCAATTAGAATATTAAAATACCATTTTCTAGCTGTCTTTCTTTCTTTTTCAAACCCTACATCAACACATAAACATTTATTGCTAGGTTTTTACCACACTTTGTGCTGTTATTGCGTTCAGTAAATGCCTGCATTACCTTTTGTACTCTTGCAATACCAGCTGCCAACATTGATGGAACAATTGCTCGTCTCTCCTTGAGGGCTGCAGTTACAAATAGCTCAAGTCTCCATCATGTTTGTGTCCCTCTGCTCTAATTGGATCAAATCATAAACTGGAAAGTTGTTCTTCAAAAAGGCATTCTCAGAGATTCAGTGACTGTTCTCATAGAGAAGTGTCTATTTCCCCCAGGTACAGCCAAAATAGGGCAGATTGGGGGAGGATGACTAAACGATCCCCCCATCCCCTGAGATAGGAGACCACCAGCAGATACTAGGAGTACCATGAATGGATGTGAAGCAGAAACCTTGGATGAAATTTGACTGAAGCAAAAATATTAAAAACATATAACAAATAAAGGATAGAAGCAAATAAACACACAGAAAGCATTTCAGTTTAAGTGTTTTAAGAAAATAATCTTAAAAAGAGGGAAATTATGATTGATGTTGTAGAAGTGTTTTATGTCATATATTATGAGGAATATTTTCATTAGAAAATCAGATGATCATAGCTTTACATTATCTGACCCAAAGTACCGTATATGCTTTTCTGCCTCTACGACATCTAATCTTTGACCTGGTGATATTTTACTCTACTCTTTGCAGCTAGAACAGTTTCGGTTGATCAAAGAAGGTTTTCCTTAAAATGTGTTTATGACGATTTGTAACCACCTATTCCGGGAGAGAATTTGTGAGGTCCAACACTGATTTTTGTCTACTGTGATTCATTCCAAAGGAATCCTATGCGGTTTAATAAAGGAAACTTTGCAGTCAACCATATTTCTTCCACAATAAACTTTCTCTTAGGTGTCTCTGTGAATTAAATGGCCAGTTGTCAAGGTTGGTGGATGTTTTTGTGGAACGAAACCCAGACTAGAGGGTGTAAGGTGGCAGGCTGAGTTTTTGCAGATTTAATAAAAAAGCAAAAGACAACAGAAGCAAAATCCAAGAAAAATTTAAGGAAACCGAATACCTGAAGACGCCAGGGGAAAACACACAAGTACCACTACTGAGGAACTGCACAAGATGAGTACAAATGGAAGACTGAACAAAGACTTGGCTAATCGGCTGACAAGCAGCAGGTGTTGATGGAAGCAACCAGAAGCCAGGGGAAAGGAGACTGGCACAAGGGAGCAACAGAGGGCAACACAAACAAAATGACACTGATAGAAAACAGCTACAATGACACAAAATCACAGTGAAACTAAAAACAAAAAAAATAAACAGAAGTTCACAAAGGGCAGAACCATGACACCAGTGCTTACAGCATATTGCACCTTTTTAAGTCAGGGGACTCTAAAGCGCTTAACATTGTGGTCAACCACATCTCAAACACTGATGGTGACTGTCATGTTTGGTTTAACGTTTCTAACCCACATGCAGAACACTCAGAGGCAGGAGAAAAGTTCAAAGGTTTATTAAAGATGAATGTACAAGTTTTATGATCAGGTCCAGTGGGGAACTCGTCTGGTCACGAGTGGGATCTGAAAAGGTATACAGATTTATCAGATCCAGGAAGGGACTGGACTGGTCACG